TTATATATATATAAAATTTGTGGGGGTTTTTGGTCATGATTTTTAATTTTTGAGTATCAAGATGATTTTTTGTTTTCTCAGTCTGGGTGGACAGGATTTTGAACAAGCTTTTAAAGAGTCCTTGTAAGACATAAACAGATCTGAGTTTGTCTGGGTGCTGTTCACACAGAGGAGCCAGCAGTACTTTCTATGCTCAGTGAGTGACAAGTGGCAGAACTGAGCAGAAGGTTCGGGCTTGTGGACTGGATACTGGATTTTCTCAAATGCAGGAGTAGCCATAAAGCTCTTCTAAGAACCAGAGTACCAGACTCTACAAAATCTAGAAAACTAGACACTTTCATGGCCCTGGGGGTTCTCCACTCTACAGACATCAACATGACAGGAATTTGTAAAATGCTTTGGTGTGGGTTAGGAGTTGCTCTCACTTGCTTCTAAGGCACATCTTCACAGGAAGGCCATACATGTTCCAGTCTACATGTCACTTGGAAGAACTGTATGCTCAAACCAGCAGTTTTCTTTTAGATAAAGATTTGGTTTTCATTTTAATTAGGTATATGTTGTGTGCCTGTGTGGGGGTTTGTGCCCATGAGTGCAGGTGCCCTCAGAGCCCAGAGGGGATGGCTGCTGGAATTATAGGTTGTTGTGTGCCTGCCATGGGTGCTGGAAACTGAACCCTGGTCCTCTGTAAGAGCAGTGCATGTTCCCATCTGTTGAACAATCTCTCTAGCCCTCCAATCAGCAGTTTTTAATGGATAAAGGTTGTCTAAATGGATTTCTGGGGCAATCTTTAAATATTTTGGAGCTATTAGAGAGAGAGAGAGAGACAGAGAGAGAGAGAACGCACACAGGTATGCATGTATGTGTATTTACATCCCTGGTAAAAGGGTAACTGTAAGATTATCATAGATGACCATAAGTCCATAAAATGCTATAGCAAATTTAAAATATTTTTAACTTTCTTAAACTCATCATCTAGCCCTATGTATGATGTTAATGGTTGATTCAGTAATTGAAATAATAAGGACAAAAATCCACCCACTGATTTTTTTATAGAAATTTTTGGTGTAATATGCCACCAATAACTATTAATGGCAAATAATTATAAATATGAATTGATGTTACTGTAGAAAAGGTTACAAATTCATTTCAGAATTGAGGGTTCATGCACCAAGTTCATAGGATGGAGCACAGACAAGACATTTATTTATTTATTTATTTATTTATTTATTTATTTATTTATTTATTTATTATTTTTGAGATAGGGTTTCCCTGTAGCTACAGCTGGCATAGAGTCTGGCCTCAATCTCACAGAGATCTGCTTGCCTCTACCTCTTGAGTGCTGGGATTAAAGCATCCGCCAACAAGCTTGGCTTCAGCCGTTGAATTCTTGAGATTTGTCTATGGCTGGGTGTGGTGACGCACGCCTTTAGTCCCAGAATTTGGGAGGCAAAGGCAGGTGGATCTCTGAGAGATCAAGGCCAGCCTGGTCTGCACAGTGAGTTCCAGACCAGCTGGGTCTATAGGGAACCAAACAGCAGCCTTTAGAAAGAAGTGACGGGGGGGGGGGCACCAGCTTCAGAGCTTTGAACAGGTGATGAGCTGTTTGCCTACCCAGGACTGTGTGAATTTTAGAGTGAAAAGTCTCACCTGCCAAGGAGTACTCAGTCTCAGGTAATCCAGGACAGTTGGCCATCCTACCTATAGGTTGCAAATATGAGATAGAAAGTGCTATGGACCTAATCTTTATGTCTCCCCAAGCTTATACCTGATCCGCCACATGAACATGCTTAGAGAAGGGGCCCTGTGGATACAGCTCTTATGAATGGGATTCTTATCAGAAGAACCCAGAGAGCTATCTGACATGCTTTCTACTATATTAGGGTGCAGTGAGAAGTCATCCATTTGCAGCCTGGAAGAGGGCTGTCATCAGAGCTTGACACTGTTGGTACCTTGGCCTCAGAATTCCCACCCCCAGAACTGTGAGATAAATTTATCCTGTTTTCCAATCCCCTGCCCTCTGGGAATCTGGGGAAGCAGCTCAAGCTAATTTCGACAGAAATCTACATGGTAGCCTCAGAACTCACTGTGACTGGATCAGCAGCCTCTTATGACTGAAGGTAATATTTCCTCCGTGGCATTAGCTAGTGTCTGTTCTGGTACCACTGAATGGAAAGTGGGCTGAGGATTGTCTTGACCAACTGCCTGGATCTAAGCCTGTGGGACTTTTTATACTAAAAACCACACAAGGGTAGACAAAGACAGCTCATCACCCTTTTCAAAGCTCTCAAGCTGCCTTGCAGGTGATGGTCTCCCCATCACTCCTTTCTTATTTTGAAGTATATAAGCATGGCTTGGCATTCCACATGACTAAGTGTAACCCTTGTCCTGCCTCTCCAAGGATGACTGAGACAAGAGATGTTCCAGTGAGCACTTTCCCCAGAGATAGCTGGAGATTCACCACTGCAAGTGATTGTTCTTGTGTCAGTACATGATTCCTTTTTTCTAAAACCCTGGGTAAGACACTGACAGATGTCTGCATTTTTTCACGAAGAATCCTGCCTGGTCTTAGGTCTTGAGTTGAGTTAAAGAGAGAACAGCCCTCTCTTCATCCTGAAGACTCTCCACCTCAGCAGAGGGTCCAAATCACTTGCAAGACCTGATTGACCTTCAGATGCCTGGGTTGCACAGTTTTTAAAATGTGAAATTAAAATGGAGAGACAAGACTCAGTATGGGAAAGGGTTCTCTCATGGTTCTCATGTCTTAGAATTTGAAGTCAGGTTGATCGTCTGTGTGCTCTCTGTGTAATGGATGCTTTTTCAAAGTGACTTTCTGAGACTGAAGCTTCATAACCCAGATGTGTGCTTGATTTGCGTGTTGTAACTCATGTCCCCATGGTCATTGTAGCTCCTCTGTCCAGAGCTGTCTGCAGCACCTGAGACTTTCTTCGGTGTGCTAACTTGCAAGTATATTTCAGATGGAGTCAATTAGAAAGTCATAAATATAGGCAGAATTAGTCTAATTTTGCAAAATGTTAGCTTTGGGAGGAAACTGGGCAAAATGAACAGTGGACTTGTCCCCTTGGTTCTTCTAACACTATAGGAATCTAAAACAGTATTAATTTTAAAGATGAATCAACACCTTTAAAACTATGGGCAGAGAAATATATTTTGATTTTTATGAAAGAATGATGTCTATAGGATTGTTTCCTAACCCACTCTTACAGATGTCAACTATTTTCTTGGCTTTTCTCTAAGACTTCTGAAAGATGTCTATCAGACTAAATATAGTGCTTATCACGTGTTAAGAATAGATAAGTCAATACCCTTTCACCTACCAGTCCACAGTATGTCATCTGCCACTGTGGCACCTCCCGTGGTTTGAGAACTTGCTCTGTGTAGTATTTTACTAATTGAAAAACCATTAGAATGTCTAAGACTAATCTTACCACTCCCTCCTTCTTTTTAGATGCCATTTCCGAAATGTAAAATAAGATTAATTTAGGGACTGTTTGAAATGATTGGTACTAACATGTCTGTCAAAAAGATATTAATTCAACTCTGCCCTTTGCAACATACGTCAAGACATTTTTGTATTCATTGCAAAACATGACCCAATTGTTACTTGGTGTTATTTTTAAGTGACCTTGTTATGAAATTCATGCAGAAGCCTTTTTGAAAGGCCAAATGTGTTGTATTTATTGTTCAGCCTTGTTCTGAAATCAAGCTTCATGTAGAACTTCATGA